CCTAAGATTTTAAGTGAGTGGGGACTGAAATCCATAAGCTCCTTACTTAACCCCATTAAAACACTTGGACCAATGAATTTGAGCCTAATAGGCTTAAAGATCTCAAAATACCAAGCAGGTCCCCACTTAAAACTAAGAAAGGACAAAACCTCATTTAAAAGTTCATCGAATTTATATTTTTTGCCATTGTCAACCGGGGCTGCAACATCTAGCATGCCCCAATCCCTCATTGAATGCACAAAATCCATAAGAAGCCGCCCAAAATCGAAGAAATTTGTTGTACAAAGAAGGAATGATCAACTATAGGCCCTTCTCTCTCAAAATCCTTGCCTATTTCAGTGAAAAAACTCTACTGAATCATAGGCACTATAGCTGAACGAGTTTCAGACCCATCTCTCTCCATTTTCTCTATAAATAGAGTCCTAGCTCGAGCTTGAGATAAGGAAGGACAGTTTTCCAACTTCTATAACACACCCACTCTGCTTGAAATCCCGAAATCCCTGAAGCCAAGCTCAAGCCTCATCCCTTGTTTTCCAACTTAACACCAGAAACACTCGGCTCATCTCCTGCCTTGCTCAAGTTCCGTTTGAAGATTTTTAGTTGCTGGAAAGTTTGTTTCAAGGTTGTATACAAGAGGTAAGTCTCTCATTCCACCATCTCTCTACTTTAGTTTAGTTTTAGATTGCTTAAAGTCCTAAAATATTGGGAAACTTGCATTCCCGGTTTCCTCTAGATTGAAAAAAGAGGTAAAGAGACAAGGGTCTTAGGGAAACTAGTACCTAAAACCCGATAATATCACCTCAAATCAATTTTAGTCGAAGCTGGGAACATTTTTGCTAGATTTCAAGAGCCTTGAACAATCTTGTTAATTGGTGTTTCGCTAGAATTTGAACCTGAACTACTCCCGTCTTGAACTGCTACAACAGCTCGGAGAGAGGGGACGCGCACACACTGGCATCACCCCTTCTTGCAACAGAACGGTGTGGTCTAAGGTCCGAGGAGGGGGTAGACTTTTGGCTCCTCAAAGACCCCTTCAAAGTCCCGCAATACTAACTGGATGCGATAGTCCATGGTGGACTCCGTTGGGGCATGGGTGCCCTGTATCTACAGCAGAAAACAACACCTGACTTTTAACACTTGCTTCTCCATTCCATCCAGCTATCGCTCTCAACTCTGGAGGTCTGTGGCCTTGCAAACGGTGGGTGTTGGCTTAACCTTGGTACTATAGTGAAAGATTGTTGAAGTCCCATGTTATTGGCCCCAAGGTTCGAAGCCACTGGACCCCGAGTACAGCATTCAATCCGTGTAGGGACAACAAAAAGAAATCTGCGGTGATCTCTGCCCCCGCAGTCCGAATGTGGAGTCCATTGCAACGGCCCTGCTTGGCTACCTGGTCCCCATTGGCCCACTTTGAACTTGGTGTCTGATGTTAATGCCACTTTGGCCTTTGTCGCCACCCTCGAGTCCATAAAATTGTTAGAGGATCCGGAGTCCACCAGGATGGTTACTAGGAGAGTCCCTACCGTCCCATGTAGATGCATTAGTCTATGGTGTATCAGTTCCTGAGATAGCATGCAGGAGATTGCTGGGGTAGGGTCCAACTCTTCACCTCTGTCTAGGGTCTATTCTGAGTCGTCCTTTTCCTCCTCTTCCGCATCCCAATTAATCCACAGTAGCTTCTGCACCTTGCACCGATGGCCAGGGGTGTACTGTTCCTCACAATTGTAACATAATCCCCTTTCCTCCTCTTCATTTCTGTAAAGATGAGTCTACGAACCTCTGGGAGTTTCCTTGGTGACGTCCTGTTCGTCGAATGGTTGCCCGTTGGTGAGAAGCAGGGCTGAGGTAGCTCTAGTCTTACTGTTTGACATTGTGCTGCCCATTCTTCTCCAACAGTGCCAGGCGAAAGGCTCGAACCAAGGTTATAGGCTCGAACTTTTCCACCCCTGCCCAAACTTCAGCCTTGAGACCGAAGATGAAACATCCCACAAGGGACTCTTCACTCAATCCCTTTACTCGGCTGGAGATACTCTGAAACTCCATATATTCATGAACATTGGAGGACTGTGAGAGCTACGTAAGTCATCCAACATGGTTGCTACCAAGGGGCCTGTTAACTGGAGCGTCCAAGGCAGCTATGAACTGGTGCCAGGTGGGATCTGGCTGATATTCTTTATACCAACTATACCACTCCATTGCTCGCCCTTCAAACCCCAGGCTAGCCACTGCTACCTAGTTCTCCTCCGACACCTATTGCAAGCGGAAGTACTGCTAGATGAGGAGAAGCCAACCGTCCAGCCCCATGCCTCCAAACGTTGGTAACTCTACCCCACTTTCCAAAACTTCTGAGGAGATATGAAGCCACTTCCTACTTCGGCCGAGCTCTCTGCCCCCTTTCCGAACCCTCTCTGCTTGCGGACTACTAACTGTTAAATTCTTCCTACTGGTCCAATCGGAAGGCGATGTTTCGGAGAACTACAGATGCATCTCCTCATGGAACTTCTCCCGGCTTCCTATGCGATCCTCCATCGCTAGTACCTTGGTTACCCGGGAATTCAATTGCTCTGATACCAAGATGTTGATAACCTCTTCCCATTGCCGAGGAGAGAGTTTCAAGTTTCCCCGAGCTACAGTGAAACAACCATCGAGGGCATGGGCAGAAGCGTGACAGACGAGAATAAAACAATGAATAGCACAAATGATGATGATGCAAAATTCAATATCCCCCATCCCCACTATTCATTATTCAATCATTTATAATCATTGGTGGTCTGAGACCGTTACAATAATGATTAGGTCTATGTATGGTTCCAACGACTTGTACGGCAAATCAGGTGGTTACAGTGGAGTATTCGGTATAGGCTGACGTGGCTAAGGCAGGGAGGCAAATCATCTTTTAGTGATAGAACTAATGAACCTGACGGTAGAAAAAATTCAAGCTGGATGAAGGCTTTCATCGGTTCAACTGTGAAGGTTTTCATCGGTTCAACTGTGAAGGTTTTCATATGGATGAACTGCTGTCCGTAGAATTTAGAACAGAAGAAAAGAAACGTGTCTCATTACAATATTACATGCCATGTCTTCCATGAAAAGCATCTTTATCTGCCTCTTGCCATACTTTTACATTCTTTAGAAGAAGTGACTGAAGAAAAACTATTCAACAAAACCATATGCTTTAATCATTGCCAAGGATTTCCAGTGTCAACAGATGTTGCAAAAGCCAAAAGGTTTTACATATCTGGGTTGGTCTACTTGTTTTTGGAAGACAAATAGGAACTTTAATGCTGTTTAGGCTTGAGAATTGACTGCCTGTTGTTGTTCCTGCCATGATGGTTGAAATATATGTTTGAGACGAGTAAACTCAAGAACTATTACTGAATAATCAACTTCAAGCCAAGCTTACATTCTTAACATAAGCATGTCTTTATCTCTGTCTTCTGAAGATTAACATACCCATACATCAATAAACTGATTTAACACTTGAACCGCTGCTGAGACTAGAAAATAATTTACAAATGCTAGCTGAGAACTTCAACCTCTCTACATTTACATGGCCTAGATGTTAGATCTTCATTGGAACAAGGAGAGTTCTAAAACATACAGGACGATGAGGGATACAAAATTTAAATATAAACAATAGTAAGATAAAAGCCCCCTTCCCCACCGAGTATCAACTGTCACTCRGCATAAACGGTTAGACCAGTAAGAGAACCTTGACTACTTATTAACAAGAGATAAAAGACTATTGTTATTTCTTACGCCTAATCCTTCAAAGCAAGGTTCAAAGCATCGATTATG